TTTCCCTCACGCCGAATGAAGGGGAGGATAGATATTGACGATCAGCTCTTCCCATGATTGCACGGGATTGGCTATTGAGATATCATCCTCTACCCCGAATTTCCACGAGATTGGGTTCTCGTGCCGATGTTATGTCCCACGATGGTGAGAGACAAAGTAGAGAACAAATTAAGTCAGCGTTTCTCAAACTGTGGGGCGTCCCCCCTTGGAGTCGTGACAACTCTACGAGGGGGACGCAAGCAAATTGAAAAGGCGAAAACATAAAATTATTTGGGAAAAAAATTAATTTACTGAAATTAAACAAGCAAAATACAATCTAACATAATAAAAAGTAAAATACATATTTGCACTCATATATTACACTTATAAATATATCAGGGCTACACAATGTATTTTATAATTAATTTAACAATACTAAGTTAAGAACGTTTATAATTACTAGTGACCCTATGGGATTGTCATGTATAAAATTATATACACAAAGTATATATAAAACACTTATCTTGATAAATTTGTACGGTTTATAATAAGTCCTTTAACAGCTAAAAAAAGTTACGCTAGTAGCATCCCATGCCAACCATTTTCCATACGTTTTCGTACATATAAGGTATATTCGGGGGGGGGAGGAATAAAGAAGCAAATAATCTGAAATAAGTAAATCCTTATCAAACATTGTGAAGGTTCTTTTATTGCATTCCAAAATTTTATGGATAGTAGTGCACAGAAAAGATCGTACTTCGGAAAGACGTATATGTACGTCAGGGGAAATTAATGCTTTGGCTGATCGAGATGGTTATATACGTATTTTTAGCATCATTGACTTCAATACATTGTTATAGTATGAGGGGGCGATGAAAATCATGATTGAATATTGGGTCGCAAACATTGAAACTTTGAGAAGCACTGAATAAAGTACATACGTCATTTTGAGATTCCTCGGTTCACATATGTTCTCTGCTCCCTGCATTGAATAGGCCCACGCTCCACGGCCTAGCAGCCGCTCATAGTTGTTGAAGCATTGAACTTGACAATTTTGTGTTTTTCTTCTAAAAATAGTAATCTATCACATTTTAAAAGAAGGGTATAATGTCCAAAAAAAAAAAAGAATTAAGAAAATAAAACATATAATTTTAATACAGAATAGCCGCACCTACTTCACTGGGTAGACAGCAACACTTTAAAAACTTTAGAAGCAGCCCGTACCCTGGAAAAGTCCGCCTATCCCTGATTTATGATATTCACTTTATCATAAGTAATAACCTAAGATTATAATTTAAATGGCAAAATAGCAGTTCGAGTAAGGTTCGCAAACTAAAAACGTTTTTCTCACGTATGCATTTACACATTATAAACATTCAAAATTTCTTTTTTTTTTTCCTACTTTTTCACTTTATGACTTTATACTTAGCAAAAATATGAAAAGTCAATATTTTTATAGCATGTTAAATCATCAGAAAGACTTAAAACGGAAACATGAAAAAAGTAGAAAAAACTATTTTCTTGAAAGTTGATTCCAAGCATGAAAAATTTGAAAGAAGCAGTCATTCATGCTAAAGTCTTCACAAGATTATAGTTTCCTTTTTTTTTTGGTACACTGCGTTATCTTTTATTACGCATGAATAATATTTCTGAAACATTGAAACTTTTTTTTTTCAAAACTTAGCCATTTTCTTTCTAATAATCAATGGACACTGATTTGATTTTGCTATTATGTGTTATTTATGGTTCCTTCGACATATATATAGAGAATTCCATTTAAAATTTAAAATAATGATGTCTCCCAAGGTGATGCTGCTGCTTTTTTAAATTTGCGAAATATTTGATGAAGATTTTTAAGGAGCTAAGTTTTTTTCTAAATAAGACTTGCTTATTGAGTAGTGACATTATAAGATAGGAAAATACGTATGTATATAATCCTTTTTTCTACTTTTTTTTCCCGTCAAAACTAGTTTCTGACCAATTAATTGTGATGGACAAATTAGAACTGGGTACCTTCCGATCCCAAAACGAGTATCTTAGCCACCATAACAAAACGATCGTCATCGCTTGGAGGCTATTACTGGTTTATATAGATATCACACCACCACACTAACATTTTGCCAGTGATTCGACAATTAGGCTAACGAACGATACCCTATTCGTGGCGAGCGTGTGAACAGTTGCATCACTTTGAGTGTGA